GTGTGTATGTGTGTGTATGTGTGTGTATGTGTGTGTGTGTGTGTGTGTTTGTGTGTGTGAGTGTGTGTGTGTGTGTGTGTGCGTTTGTGTGTTTTAGTATGTATGCGCGACTGCGTTCTACTGTTTTAGGAAATATGATAGGTATGCCCTCAAATGTTCATGTGTTACGCAGAAGACAGATAGCAGATAAAATATATTTTCAAAGAGACAAAACAAAACAGCAAAACAGGAATATAGAAAGGCAATGCCTACATCGCGCTGTCAATTTCTGACCCAACACCATCAGCCATCAAGTCAATATATAGATCTAGCTAAACGTATGCTTCTCCCGTGTGGTTCTCGGAGCCCTATCCAAGAGACAGGGGAGCAAAGAATAGGACCACTGTATCCGTACCGCGCATGTCGTAGAAGACGACTAAGGTCGGTTGGGCAAAGGGTTAGCAGCCCTTTCCCGTAAAACAAAAAGCAGCTACAAAAACATCAACAGCAAAAACAACACGACTGCCAGTTCTGGAAGATGGAGGAACTTCATCACCGAGGAGAAGAGAGAACATGGAGTGAAAAAGCGGGGACATCACGGAAACAGATAGAAAAGGATGCTCAGGACAGGCTTCGCTGGAGTAATGCTGTTGATGGCCTGTGCTCCACTGGGAGTTAAAAAAGGGCAAGAGAGAGAGAGAGAGAGATACGTATGCTTCCCAGAAAGTTGATTTTGTTTCAGAAAGCTCTCAGGTATGCAGGGGGGATCAAATAGATTGTGAAGCGCTTAGGGTTTGCTGTTGAGCGGGGATTTGAGCTATACAAATGTTATTTTTTAAAATTATTATATCCATTGTGCACAAGAGGGACATGACCAGGTTGTAGAAAAGGGTTATGAAAAAAGATTAGTTTACTCTTTGAAAAATCTTACTTTGCGACTCAGATCTTTTACAATACGGTATTACGAGTAAGTACAATAGAGTCGTGTCTGGAAAACAGATAGCAGAAGGAACAGAACTAAAGCACTGCAGCCACCCCTAACCCCCATCCCCCACTCTCCCACACCCCCCAACCACCAAACGGAGGCTGTGTGTGCCCACTTTGGGACACTGTATCTCAAGGCCAATACATACGCAGTTCAACAGACGGATGAGTACTTTTTGAAACTTATGTAGAGGCGTCTCGGTGGTCAAAGTGGAGAATCTACAAGCTTGCACAGGAAGGGGATGAAAGCCCCATGTTTGACACATGTGACGTCACTGTTTCGAGCTCTAAAATTATATACATAACCTCTTTGATCTGGGACTGACCTGTGACATAATCCGGTCGGCGCCGGTCCCCTCCTCGTCCTTAAACAAGATATCCGGGTTGTTGTTCCTCACAAGGTCCTTGAACTTGGGCTCGTGCCGCCGGATTCGGCCATCTGTGAGTCCACTGGCGCCCAGGGTGTTCTCACTCACGTTCGGCACGTGCTGTTTGAAAACCAACGGCGTGAGCTTCCGCGGCCGCCTGCGCCTTCCCGACCCGCGGCCAGGACTGCACGACTCTGTGGTCGCCAGCAGCAGCAGCAGCAGCAGCAGTAGTGGCGTCACTGGTCCACACCCTCTTCGGCTGATACGCATGGTTTCTGAAAGTGGAGAGAGGGAAAGTAGAGTGTGAGGGGGATACTTGGATACCTGGATACCTGAATACGCATGGTTTCTGGAAGTGGAGAGAGAGGGAAAGTAGAGAGTAAGTGGTGGGATACCGGAATACCTGGATACCTGGATACGCATGGTTTCTGGAAGTGGAGAGAGAGGGATAGTAGAGAGTGAGTGGGATACCTGGACACCTGGATACGCATGGTTTCTGAAAGTGGAGACAGGGAAAGTAGAGTGTGAGGGGGATACTTGGATACCTGGATACCTGGATACCTGGATACGCATGGTTTCTGGAAGTGGAAAAAAATGTTGAAATGGTAAGGGTTTAACGACCGTATCAACACTGTTAGGTTACTTAACCCCATTCGTAAGCCCTGGTGTCATTTTGTACCCCTGGGGTTGTATTCTTCACATTTGAGAAAACTTCTAGTACGAAGATCTCTTTGAAACTTTCAGTATTTCTCTCAAAATCATGTTGACAGACTGCTATGCCAAGCGTACGGATCGGATTAACGAGTAAATTTCCTCTTAGGAAAGTGATGGCATAGAGTTCCCCACGTCGTATGGATACGATAGTAAAACACGACGTAGGGATAGGGTTAAGAGGTGGGACCCCCGAGTTTAACGTCCATCTCCTAAAGGAGCGATCCAAAATGGGAAATTCATGTAACGTGCCTTTCCCAAGGACACAACGTCGGGCCGAGCTGAGGCCCAAACCCCCGAACTCGCAAACTCACGATTACGAGTCCGGTAGCTTAACCACTAGGCTACCGACGCCCCTTTCTGGAAGCGGAAAGAAGGAAAGTAAAATGTGAGTTGAATACCTGGATACCTGGAAGAGTCATCTCTGACTCAGAGGTTGACATGTAATGACCCTCTATCGTTCACGGTCGCGAGCTGCCATTGTACATTCTGCAATATCCAGGCCAGTCCATATTTTTATGATATCCATCCACGTTACTCTTTGTCTTCCTCTGGCTCTCCAGCCCCACATCCCTATTTCAAGCACCTCTTTCACAATGGTCTCGTGTCGTTTTAAGTGGCCATTGTAATACATTTTTCTAAATTTTATTTTTATTCATCGTGAGTTGAATCTAGATCTGATATCATTTGTTATGAGTGTCGCCTATTCCAAAGGTGAGACCTATGATTGTAACCTCCATCTCTAATAGATCTAGATCAAGTGCGTAGAAGTGACACGAGACCATTGTGAAAGAGGTGCTTGAAGGAAAGATGTGGGGCAGGAGAGCCAGAGGAAGGCAAAGAATAACATGGATGGACAACATAAGAACATGGACTGGCCTGGGTATGGCAGAATGTGCAACGACAGCTCGCGACCGTGAAGGATGGAGGGTCATTACACGTGAACCTCTGAGTCAGAGATGATACCTTCAGGTAAATAAGTACATCGTCAACAACACCAAATACGACTCGAGTACAAGAACAACATCACTCATGAGGATTCGAACCAGAGCCATCCGCACCGTTGTCAAGCATGACATCCACGAATCTATTGTCACACTAATGGTGCTTTCTTGAAAAGTTGTTGGTATGTTTTATTAAGGTTTTACGGCGCTCGCAACTGCATAAAGTTATATGAGCGCCAAGGGTGGATGTCAACAGAGATGCCCAAACGGGGAATCAGGCTTACTCTGCTCACATCTCTAGCCTCAAAAGCACAAAGTCTGCTTCGACTATCAAGGCGCCCCGGAAATAGCGGGTCACAAGAGTGTGACAAACATACAAAAGAAGTAGAGGAATAAAGAAGATAGCAAGGATTAAGAAAGAAAAAGCAGCAGTTCCCTGTTGCAGTTCAGGCACAGTTATGAACTTGACATTGATGATCAGCCCATTTACAATTCTACGG